AAAATAAAATAAAATAAAATAAAATAAAATAAAATAAAATAAAATAAATTAAAATTAAATTAAATTCAACAAAATATACAAAACCAAATACATCGACAACAAACTAACAACAACAACGATAAAATGCTAACTAAATCAAAAATGACAAACAACAACAATAAAAACTGCGAAATAAAACCCTGATTTAAATAATTAATACACAAATATGAACTATTAAAAAAAATAAACTATTTGAACCAAATATAAAAAATTATAACCAAACAACAACAATATGAAAACAAAACAATAACTTAAACAACAAATACAACTACCACAAAACAAAACGGCAACTCAACGCATGAAATTTATAACCAAACTATAAAAACACGACAACTAAACCCACTATGAAAACAAATAAATTATATATTGTATTTAATTAAACGTCATGTTCAATAAATCGATAACACAACTGCAATTTTTTTTACAAAAAATTCAAAATTCTTAAAATACACTAAATTCACAAATCACAAAAATAAAAAAATCCCGATGTTTTTTTTTATTAAAAATCTTTAATTGTTTGTGCGAATAATAACAAAAATCCTCCAACGAACGAAACAAAAACAAAAAAAACACATTCATAAATATCTCTAAAAACACATTTTTGTATACAACTACGACACTTATTTCGATCAAAATCCACCCTAAAAATTATGTGAAAAATCAATAATTACCTTGAACAACCATAATGTATGTATGTGTATATACAACAAAAAACAAAAAAAAACAACCACAACACCAACAACATGATAATCACGCTGAAATCGACGCCACAACAACGATTGCTGCCACATCTCACCGCCCTCCCCTATTAATTATGTAATGTTTGTGCCTCGAACCCCATGCCACAATTCCGCGCGTTGATGGTTATCGCAACAATCGCTTTGCCAAAAATAATCAACACAAAACTTTGATAAAAAAAATATATACACCGCGTGTTGGTCAACATGCAATAACAACATTACCCACCGATACTAAAAAATTTCGTTATGCTCGCTATTGCTAAAAAAAAAAATACTAAAATTCTCAAATTGAAAAAAAAAATATAAAAATCGCCCCAATTTTTATGCGCCACGAACTATGCAACGTAATGGGGTAAATGTTGCAACAAATTTTGTGATTCACTCGACTTGTCGAATGCACACTCATTGAAATGAATTACACATGCAAACATAAAAACTGTACAAAATCGTTACAAAATATCCATCGCTGCTGTGCTGCAATCTATTTACATTTTTTTTTTCTCTATATAACTACTTGTGCACTTTTCGACATTTGAATAACGGCAACAACTTATGCAACTAAAATTTGTATATGTAAAAAAAAATGTGTACACAAATGTGAAACACCTGCCGCGTTGTGCTATCATCTACGAACATACGCGCACACACACACCATTACGCATGTATACGTGCGCAAAATAAAATAACAACCGTCAACAACGTAACCATAACAAACCTTCAACTCACTGCAATCGCCCGCCAACCGGAACTCAACTGCACTTCCATGCATCCACCACTTATCTATGTACTGCGCCTCATCTTTATGCTTCATTGTCTCTATGCTGGCTGCATTACTGTGCCTATGGATATGTTCACGCTTGCCGCCACTCAATGTTCCTGTTCAACATTTTTGGTGCACACTATACACACTCCAATCGACATTCTTCGTTCTGCAACCTCATATGCGCATACAGTCCCGCCGGATATCCTCGATTATCCCACCAGCACGGATATGGTTGTACGCGAGGGTAGTAATGTGACGCTCAAATGCGCGGCTACCGGCTCACCAGAGCCAACAATTACATGGCGGCGCGAAAATGGAGTAGCCATTGAATTGGCCAACGGTACAGAGGGTAAGTACCACCATCCACCATATACATACATACATATATATATGCTTAGCAACTCATTTCTACATGTGTGCAAATCAACTCATACGCTTGCACATATCGAGTTTAGAAAGTTTTGGAAGCGAATGAGTGGCTTCATCGCTGAGTGGATAGGTAGCTTTTTTTCGCTGTAAAGCTGTAAGTTTCATGCGGTCTAGATTGCCCACGTGTAGACGAATGCAGTACAGTTTATTTTATTTGAATATAGGGTGTTACCATTTGTGTATAAAAAAATACCGTCATCTATTATGTAATGTTAAACTATTAAACATCATTTTTTTTTTTTCATAGCTGCCCTCTTAACAGATCTCACAGTGGCGCAGTGTTTCGACTATGTTGAGGCAGGTGGACAAAAGTCATGGTGACAGGTGATAAAACAAAACCTATTGGTCTTCCAAAGGGAATAGTAAAAGTCATAAATACAAAATTTCACATCATTCACTCAACCCCTCCCCCCTCTGAACGGTACATTTCAGCTTTTAGCTACCCAAAATTTTAAACTACCTTGCCAACTGAAAAGATTACTAGTAAGACACCCTTCAAACCTTTTTCATGATTTAATTTGGGACAGGGAACGATTGCTAAAACTTCAGTCTATAGCACCGAAGCCAGCTGTACAGAGAAATTTCAAGTTTGTTGCCAGTCGCTTCCCCGTTTCGTCTCTCCCAAGACAGAGTTTATGTTTCAAGGGAGTGGCGAGAGCATGCCTTCCTGCGGTGTGCTTCTTGTCACATATCTTGAAGCCGAGTTATCACCGACGTTTTCCGTGATCACCCAGCACTAGAGCATTTGCCTTATAAACTCCACCAGAGAATTGTACGCCTCCAGTCCCCACAAGGCCTATATTATAGCCCCCGAATTTATATTATTAAAAGCTCCCTAAACGTCAAGAAAGGCTACAAGACAATATTTTTTGTAACTGAAGGACTTTTCAATAAAACTGACTAGGCCATGCAGCGCGGTTTCCGTGTACTTGGCCTCCAGATAAGCATATTGCTTGTTAGACAGTATTCTACTATCAATAGTTGAAGATAGGTAGTTACTAACCATCCTTTCTAGGGTTTTAAGCACAGAGCAATAAAGGCTAATAGGTCTAAGGTGCTTTGGATTTGTACGTGAAATCTTAACGTATTTAGGAATAAAGACAGCTGAGATAGATCTCCACGCTGTCGGTATGTAATCTAGCTTAAAACAGGCCATGAAGATGTTCATAATCTGGCTTAAAGCTTTGTATCGCCCAATAAATCCTCTCCATTGTGACAGACAATTTGACTGCCGCGCCCAAAGTAATTCGTAAAGAGCCCTCTGTTTACGAACTCCCTGGGAAATGTGTATCCAGGGGCAGTTCTACTGTTTCCAATTTTCCAATCATGTCGTGGTCCAGGAACCGTGTTGCTTCTGCAGAAGCCCGATCGGGTTCGAGGATCTCGACAGTAATTTTATTAACCACCAGTGGCGCGCTCGCTTTCCCCTGGGTCTAGGGCCAGTCTATATTCCTAAGGTTGATTCGAACCTGCGGTGCAGTTAGAAAAAAGTCTAGAATGGTCTCAATATATCTATGGTCCGGAAGTTAGTGTTCGTTACGAACTCTCCAGCCTTAACCGTATCAAAATAATTGTCATTACATAGCGTAAAGTCTATAACTTCCACACGGCACACAACAAAAGTATATTCTGAACCTCTGTTATATATCATGAGATTAGTTGTTAGAGGTAGATAAAAAGACTCACCTGAACTATTGATGTTCATGCTCCCCCACTATACATGGGGAGTCAGCGCCGCGTTCACCATCGCTGAGTAGCAGCTCCTTCTCGCACATCTTCAGCATCGCCAATGCGGGGTTGAATTTCTTGGAGGCATTACTCTCTGCGTCAGAGAGATCCCGCTCCGTCTCCTCAATATGCACGTCCACTAAGGCACTCGACTGGAAGCGCGCTGCGCGTCCCCGCGATAGACCTTTATGGTCACGTCGTCGAGGCCGTAGAATACTCGGCCCTTTATCTGCTCCAGGAGCTTTATCGAGACCCTGTTTACAGGCAGGACCACTTGTTTTGCCAAATCATCATTATCTTGGACCCGTAGGACCCTCCAGTCGCCCGTTGGAAGATCCGGATTCATTGTTTGCAGTATGTTAAGAACCGGCACCTACGCCCTTGCCATTGGCCTGACTGGAATGTTTTTCGAGCCCACCACCCCCAGATTTGCTGCGGGATAGACAGCACCTTTGCGGCGGCGGCCTTGTACAGCACCACCTGACTCGCATCATTGCAAGCCACCAGCTTAATGTGGCCCTGGTACCAGTCGACAAGTGGGAGGGGTTCCGAGGTTCTCCAACAAGACGTCAAAAATGACGTTTGCCAGAGCCGCCTTCACCCACGCCCACTGGTACCGAGGAATAGAGCCGAGTTCGTTGCTGCGGTGAAGAACCCTGATAAGATGCTCTCACTAGCAACATTAGCAAAGCTAGGTCTAGCTGCCTCGGAGTGCACCTGGATTTTCTTAGGTGGATGTTGTTGTCTCTTAGTTTGGTTTCCCACCGAAACCCCAGCTGTGGTTTGGAAGTTGGGTAGGCTCCGCTTTTCAACGTGAATGGACCGCCCCTCTGCTTTATCCAGAGAGAAGCCGCCAATAGTTTCACTCGTGGTTACTCCCCCGGTGTTTTCTTTTGCGACCACTTATTGCCTTTCCCCTCTGGAATCCGGTCGTGAGATCCCTGCCTCATTGAGCCGTGTCGGCATTTGATGTGTACCCAGCCCCAGGGGCTACTGATTGACCTGCCGGTTCTAGCATAGTCACTGCGCTGCTTTCCCCGAGGTAGGGAAGACGAAAGTGGTTTTTGTTTTTTTAGTTTTAAATTTATTAGCTTGTCTATTCTAAAAAAACTCGGCCGTTGCAGTCACTATGGGATCCCCTGGGTATCTGTGAAACAGGGAGGCCATGCCGTGAGTCAGTGCCAGATCCAGTGAAAAATATTGGAGGGCGCCTCAACCGTTAAGCTGTATTTACATGAGGCTGTTTTCTAGGCGATTCAACATTTATCACGAAAAATCGCTCGTGTAAATTGTGATTCAAATATCGTCTCAAAATAGACAGCTAGACAACTTTTGTAGGCGATTATCGCCTGTCAAAAAATCGCCTCATGTATAAAGGAACGTAATTGGAGGCCTGCTAGACTTTTAATGTGACGTAGGCGGTCACGGCATTAACCTGAAAGTCATACTCAGGCAACAGAATACCGCAACCACCAGCTCAAGACAAACAGATAAAAAATGTTTTGGAATTCGGGCAGTCCGTGGACGACTGCAGGTTCAAGCCAGGGAAGATGTTTTACCTTCCTTTATCTGTTCCCCAACGACAGGTTGAGGTTAACTGTGCCACCAACGTGAATGAAAAGGAGGAGATTGATAGCAAGGTGGAAAGGCATCACATCCAAAGACCGGCTGTCGCCAGAGTTGTTAAGTATTTGAAATACAAATATAAAACACAAAATACGTATTTGTATATTGTATTTACAAACTTTTGACGTAGAAAACATCTAATACCATGTTCTGACCGACAACGAAAACACTTCGAAAACGAGTTTTGGGATTGTGGGCTGCAGGCTGTTCACACTAGTGATGGCACGATTAATCAAATAACCGATTATAATCGGATATTTTCATTCGGTTAACGATTTAATTATATCGACATTTTCCCTTCGATTAATCGAGCTATTAACCGATTAATTTTTCAAAATAATCGAAAGGAAACCATCTAAAATTTACAAATTTACTCAAGCATACATTATTCAAAATAAGTTGGCTGTATGCACATATTTTCATATTATTTTCTTCCATATAAAGAAGAAGAAAATGCGTAACACCATTACCAAACAGAAAAATATCAAAAATCAGTCTTGGAGTTTTTCATACAAAAATTTAATGCATTTAACTGCATACTGAAAATCTTTCTAAGAAATCGAATCAAAACGCTGGAATTTTTTGTTTATTTTTTTTTTACTATTGCACAAAGTTTGATGTTTTTATATTTATTCGTTTTTTGCTAAAGAATAAACTAAATTTAAAAAAATAACTAAAATTAAATAACAAAAAAAAATCTTGTTGTGCGCTATAATTTTGACACAGGGTGTAAATCAATTTTTATAACTTATAAATCGTTTTTATTAATTTTCGATTTTAATCGAAATGACCGACTAATCGGCTAATTTCTTAGGATTAATTGCAATTGTTAATCGAATGCTTTCGATAAATCAATTAACCGACTAATCGATTATTAAATTTTTTTTTGCCATCACTAGTTCACACCGGCTGTTAGTGTTTTTGTTGACATTTCCTACATCCTCTGATTACAGTTTCGCTACACAAGAATAAAACTAAAATGCTTTTCTCTCATTTTCTTTTCATTAGCAACCTCTTACTCTCATTCTTATTTTACTTTGACCAGACAATTAACAATAAATCCGAAATGGCGTATTAAATATGATAAAATATGACTTCCACTTCGGTAAATAATCGAAAAAACTAGTTAAGACACCGATTGGAATGAGTGGAACATTTTCAAGTATTTTTCAGTGAAAACTGCTTTTCGTTTGACAGATTTTACATGGACGAAAATACAAGCTTTATGTCGAAAACCAGTTTTAGCAACGAAGACGGTCGATGTCGGTCAGAACATAGTATTACGCTTCGGTATGGATTCCATGCTTAAATATTGTAGTCGTAATTTTTACAGCTTCACAAAAACACTTATTGCACGAGAGATAATTAAACAATTTGAAAAAAGCGGCGGTCCATACCTACCGACAGATTAAATTTTTGTAAGTGGACGGTTGGTTTGGGGTCGGTTTTGAGCCTTTAAAATGCTCTAACAGCTTGGGTTTTCCAGATATAACTTTCATTTTCGGAATATAGGTTCTTTGGAGCAATAGAAATATTTTTGAGTACAAATTTTATATAAATTCAACA